CAGCACTGAGAAAGTGTTTCCTTGTGCCTTTCTCTATTTGATGCACAAATTGGACTGTGGATTCTTATTCTAAGTATAAATATTAACAAATCAGGTTTAAATGTGCAAAATAAGAGTTTTTTTTTTAAAAAAACAAAGCGATTAAAGATGAGATTCCTAGTTTTTCCTACCTAAAAAAACAATACATGAAAGTGCAGAAATCCTGTATTTGTCTCTTCAGTTCTGTCATTGACCTGAAGTCTACTGTCTTTGCTGCTAAGTCACCAGTGATGCAAAATGCTCTAGACCAGTCTCAAGCCAGAAAGAGGGGATCATGGAGGCTTCCTGTGTCTGCCAACTAGACCAGCCAGGAATGCCTGTTTCTCTCTCCTATGTCTCACATGTGGTATGTGAAACAGAAAGACTGAGTAGGGGAAGAATGTTATCAAATCACTCCCGAATGATCTAGCTATTGTTACAAATTGGAAGGTTAAAGTCAGCACATGCCCCAGACCCAGCTCTGTCCTCACCCCTTTGTACTCCCTCTCACTGATGACATTTTAAAAACCATAGTCTCTCATTTAAAAAATATTTCTTAAGCTTACCCTTCATGCCAGGGACAAACAAATACAGATACACACACACACACACACACACACACACACACACACACACACACACACACAGCTCAGAGCTGGAGAGATGACTCACCTTGTTAAAAGCACTGGCTGCTCTTGCAGAAAACCCAGGTTTGATTCCCAGCACCTACATGGCAGCAAACAACCATCTGTAATTCCAGTTCCAGGGGATCCGATGCCCTCTTCTGATCTCTGAGGGCATTGCATAACATGGGTGCACTTACATACATGCAGTCATTACACTCATACACACACACAAAAAAATTTTTTTTTAAATAGAGAGATGTGTTGGGGCTGGAGAGATGGCTCAGCAGTTAAGAACACTGGTAGTTCTTGCAGATGACCCAGGTTCGAATCCCAGCACCCACATGGCAGCTAACAACTGTCCATAACTCCAGTTCCAAGGGATCTGACAGCCTCTTCTGTCCTCCTCTGGCCTTTCACAACATGGGTGCACTTATGCAAGAACAGTCAGTTCTCTTAACCACTGAGCCATCTCTCCAGCCCTTTGTTCTAAATTTCTTTACATTTATTTTGCGTGTGTATGTTATGTGTGTGAATGTATACATGCTACTGCATGAATGTGGAGGTCAGATAACTTTTTGAGTTGTTGGCTTCTTTTACCATGTTGGTCATGGGTCATGGGTCATGGGTTGTTAGGTTAGGTGACAAGTGTCTTTATGTGCTAAGCCATCTCTCTGGCCCCTGAATTTGGCTTTTTACTTCTGGGGATCTGAACTCATGTCATAAGGCTTGTGTGACAAGCACTCTTACTGACTGAGCCATCTCTCTGGACCCTATGTACCACATTTAGTTTATCTGTTCATTTGTTGAGGGATATTTGGGTTACTTCCAAGGTAAGTTATTTGTTATAGCTTTAAAAAATTTGCCAGGTTTCCATCCAGAAATGTACTTTATATGTGGATCACCGTGGTGTTTTACATTTCTGATTCTAAAACGCTGGGCATGGTGGCGCACAGCTTTAATCCCAGCACTTGGGATTGAGACCAGTTTGGTCTCCATAGCAAGTTCCAGGCCAGCTGGGGCTACAGGGAGACCCTGTCTTTTATTTATTTATTATTTTTTTTTATTTATTTTTATTTTATGTGTATTAGTGTTTTGCTTGTATGTATGTAAGTTCACCACATGCCTACAATGCCTACAGAGGCCAGAAAAGGAACTAGAGACCTGGCCAGTTGTTTACTGCCATGTGGGTGCTGGACACCAAACCCAGATCCACTGCAAGAGCAGCCAGTATGCTTAACCACTGAGCCATCTCTTCTACCCCTAGAAAGCCCAATTTCTACAGCACTTTCCTCCCTGAGTGCCCTGAGCTGCCATCTCTGAAGGAAGGGACATGTCTTCACCTCGAAACCTGAGGTGTCCCTCTACCAGGAGCTCTGAAGCCCAGAAGACCTCTAGAAAGACCTCAGCACAGCACAGGTTTATAATTAAACTTGTTTAATAATAATATGGAACTGATAGAAATAGAGATAGCAACTATAATCTCTTTACTTATTTTACTCTTAAATAATGTTATGAGCATTTACAATCATTTGGACTATTGGGATTTCATTTGTGGCTCACTGAATATTCGCTAATAAGTCCCTGGATCAAAAGAAGTACAGACTGGATCATAGTGGCTACAGTCAACCCAACTATAGCTTAACTAAAGATTGACCAAAAAGTATTTTTCATGATTATGGGAAGACCATCAAAATATCCAAAATAGCAATTCACAGAAAGAATCAGCTTCCCTGTAAGACTGCAATCAGTAAGTGATAAGAGGCCCCAATGGATGGTGTATATAAGCAGTTAACTGGATGCCTGGTAGGGTATTGTTTTGTTTGTGAACAGTTTGAGATTAAGAACCAAATGTTTTATCAGTGTGCCTCACAGCAGGGATATTAGAGAATTTAGGTTCACTCTGAAAATGCTTTACAGACAGTGCATAGAAGAGAACCTGAGATTAACCTGCAGCATTTGGACCAGTGATTTGTTTTTACTCTGAGGTCAGAAACCCCCACAGCTGAGCACTCTGGATAAGGAAGGCCCTTTCTCTGTATTTGCCCAGCTTGGCCCAGACCAAGCAAATGTCATTTAAACATAATCTACATTTAAACATTCTTTCCTTTTCACTTTAACTGTGTTTGTGTTTCCTAGGGCACATCTGAAAGTCTCAAAATATTTACTACATATTTCTATGCTTTTAAGAAAAAAAAAATGCAGTTTTCACATGCAAGTTATTTTCAGCAGGCAGATCCTTTCCTGGAGCACAAAAGGCTAGATACGAAAACAAACAGGAGAATGTGCAGCTTTAACAAATGAGTCCTCAGAGATGGTTTTTAAAGCATGGGTTTTATTTCTTGGTCCAGTTCTTACCCTGTCACTTCTCAACACTTACAGAGACCCTGAAATAAATCAGTAACATTTGCACAATTTTTAAGGCTGACAGTTTAATTTTTTTTTTCCTGTTTTGTCTATTGCTATGGCCAATGTAATTAGGTCATAGCCATGTGAAAACTTTGTTGTACAAGAAAAATGTTGGATGAGTCTGAATGTTTTCAGGAAGATTTGTTTCTGCTAATGTTCACATTATCATTTGCACATGAAGCTCATTCGCTTACCCTACATAATTTAGAATATTAATGTTTTCTCCAAAGGAACAGATAGCCCTAACTCAAAGGGAAGTACATGTTTCTGTTTACTTTTATATGGTGATTAGAGCACTTACTTTAAAAAATGTTTTTAGCATAGACACCAGAGTTTTGAAAACGTGCCTTTAATTATAGAGACTAGTTGCCAAGCTGAGAAGGTATCATTCCAGGAGAAAGAGAACAGATTAAATTATCACAGGAGTCCAGAAATGGCAACAGAAACCAAAGACTAGCATGTGTAACCTTGCAGACTGCTCTCTAACTTTATTTTACGTCAGAGTTGTTTATGATTCTTAGGCCTGATAGACTGTTTATCCCCATGGATAAAAGCATCAGACTTGAATGTTCCCTAAGGCTTCTGTACTCCTAAAATGTTAGGAACCATAGGAGAAAGTAAATTTCACAAAGTGATGATACTTATTCATGTCTCGGGAAAAATTTGATGTAAACTCCTTTTATTCTTTAACTGAGTCTTGATTTTTATATTTGTGGATTATCTTAAGAATTTAAGTAACAGAGAGATTCTTATTCACATTCAAAATTTAAACAATAAGAAACACAAAAGGCACAATTTATTATTGGCTCAGTGAAAAGGTCAAAATTTCTAAGCTTGATAGAGCACCATTACAGCTGTACAGTAGACTCCTTGTAGAAACCATGAAAGGAAGCTAGTGTGGGGATATCTAGAACAAATATAAAATTTGAGTTGCTCTCTGTGATGGAAGCAAAGTAATTGTCAAGAGTTTGACTGTGTTGCTGAAGAATTTAAGGGGCTTATGAAGAAAGCTTGTGAAGAAAACACAAGATAGCTTTATTGTTCTGATGTAACATCTACTGGGAAGCCAGGCATCGCTAAATACTAAGCAATCTGCAGAATTCCTGAGTCCTCACCCAGTGATTGTGTTTCTAGATCAGATAAGAAGTGAGAACTGCAGAAGTCAGGCAACTGCTAAGCTGTTCTTCCAGACTCTTGGAATGAATGAACACCTCGCTGGCTAAGAAAAAACAAAAGTGAGACAGATGAGGAAAGATGGGAATTTTCAAGACAGGGTCTCACTGGGTAGCACTGACTGTCCATGGAACTGTGTAGTCCATCCTGGCCTCCATCCGGCAGAGATCCTCCCATCTCTGCCTCTCTCCCAAGTGCTGGGATTAAAAGTGCACTATTACACCTGGCAAGAGGTTTTTAAAACAAGATCTATGGATTGGAGAGATGGTTCATCGGTTAAGAGCACTGGTGGTTCTTGCAAAAGACCCGGGTTCGAATCCTAGCACCCACATGGCAGCTAACAAATGTCTTTAACTTCAGTTCCAGGGGATCCAATGACCTCTTCTGTCTTCCGAGGGCATTGCACAACACTGGTGCACTTACATACATGTAGGCATAACACTCATACACATAATAAATAAAACAAGATCTGCATAGCTCATTAATAAATTTCTTTAATTATATTCATGTAGGGCTAAATTCAGAGCTACTTATATTTTAATAAAAAGAAAAAAATTGTTCATGAGAGGTTGATCTTCCTAAATGACACTGACAAACTTTTTGGACATTTGAAATTTGCAGTGGCTCATGCTAGACTTCTAGCATGTTCCTCAGTTTCCAGATGTTGATAGGCCTTGGAGCAACTTGAAGATCAGCTCTGCTTACCACCGAGTTTGTTCATGAGCTGTGGTGACAGGACAGCTTTGGGCATACTAATGGGTTCTTTTCTTTCTATAGGGACTGTATGTTTTTGTGGTTTACTTTATTTTACACAACCAAACATGTTGCCCTATGAAGGCCAGCTACACAGTTGAAATGAATGGTCACCCAGGACCCAGCACAGCCTTCTTCACACCTGGAAGTGGAATGCCTCCAGCTGGAGAGGAGATTAGCAAATCCACCCAGAACCTGATCAATGCTATGGAAGAGGTATGTTCTCCCTATTCAAGTTCTCCCTCTGTCTTTCTGTCTCCGTCTCTGTCTCTGTCTCTTTCTCCTCTCTTTCCCTTTCCCTCTCTTTCTCACTCTCTAACTCTCCGTTGTATAGAGGGCAAGATAAATGCTACTAAATGTTAAATCTTTTTCTCACTGTAGTATCATACGAGATCACTAATTATTTTCTGCCTTGAGAGCTACACAGACCAGCCGTTCATATTGGGAAATCAGATAGAGCAAAATTTGGTATTTCCTGCAAAAATCTTTTTAATTTGATGCACAGGGACAATATCTAAGAAATAGTTTTTTAAATGTTCTTCTTAAAAACACATTCACAGGGTCTTCCTTTACCCATCCCCATGCTTTACTTCAATCCAAGAACAGAGTAACTTCTTTCAATTTAAATACCAGAAAATATTCTAGAACAAAGGCTTACAGAGTGCTTTTGTGACACTCCTGGAACATCTAGGCAGGATTTCCTCTGTAAAATCTGTCTCTGTTGCCCTCTGTGCTCTGTCCATCAGTTTGATTTCCTGAGTCACTTCACCACCAGCCTGTGAGCAGCTGCCCTGTATAGGGGCCACTCCAGATTTTTTTAAAGCACACCCAGCTACATCTTCCCCAGAAGAGGCAGCAAAGCCTGGTCCCCACAGGCCCTAGATGTGCCTGGCCTCTAGTCCTATGTATGCAGGAAGCAAGGAAAGCAGTATTTGTGCTTGCAACCTAAAACAAAAGCTGACATGAAATTGATGTATATTTGCTTGAAGATGAAATAGTTTGATAGGAACATAGATACATAGATACATAGATTAGATAGGTGATAGATTAGATAGATGATTGATAGAGAGATAGATGGATAGATACATAGATACATAGATAATCAGTGTACCCACAGATAACTTTTTGTCTTTGGTGGCAGTATAGAAAGCAATTTCATTCATGTTAAATTAAAACTCAGGTGAATGATCACAATGCAATTAATATATATGTCCTTTGGTTTGAACAAGGAAATTTTAGAACACAGAATCACCAACTAATAGTTAAGCAGAGAGTAAGTGGTCACCTCAGCCTGTGAATAGGAGAAAAGGGAGGGTTGGGTCAAAGAGTATACATTTCCTCTGTTGGTTCAAGAAGAATGTTTAAAAATTAAGAAGTGCCTTCAGTACTTTAAAATGTTTTGAACAATAGCACTATTTCTATATGCTGAAAATTCTTAAAACTTCACCCCAAGTACATCCCAAGAAACAAGGATAGCTTTAAGATCCGTGGGTGTTTTTGAATGGTTACCAAGCTAACGTTTGTCTCAATCTGAACTGTCTAGTATATCTTTTAGCCATATGTGACTTAATTTAAAGTAATTAATACTAAAGATTTGTCCTGTCCACCCAGCTACATAATCAGTGCTCCACAGACACATGTGCCCAGGAGCTGCAGTGTTGGAGAACACAGATACAAAGTATTTCTGTCATGGCAGAAAGTTCTATTGAACAGTGCTGTTCTAGGTATCCAACTTCTTAGTGAAAATTATCTTGATGTTTCATCTTCTGAGTTTATCTCTCAATCCTCAGAGTACTTTTCTCAGTATGAAGTCTCCCCACAGTCTCCCAGAAAACCTTTCGTTGGTAGGCAGCAGCTGCGACCGTCCAATTACTGGACTGGAGCCACTACTTGAGTGTTCATCTGGGGGGTTGCACAACTGCGTGGCTTAAAGTGTGTCTGCATTCCTCAGAGGCTCAGAATTGGCCTTGATCCAGCTGTCAATGAGAGCCTGTAAGAGACGTTCTGAAAAGCCAGTAAGAGCAGGAAAGGTTGAGGAAAAAAAGATTTAAGGGGTTGTTTACCAGTAACCTAGAGGGACATGAGTACATTTAATCGTCTTGGGATAAAACTGTTTTTCTGATCATTTAATCAAAAGCAAGGGGAGATTTGGAACGCCGCGGAAGAACTTCCCATTTTAATTCAGTATGTCCCTTGGTACCTAATATTTAAAATAGTCTGTTTCAGATTAAGAAATAGAAGTGTTCTGAATCTCTTTGATATCAAATTTTTAGGTTTTATTTATTATTTTTTATTGGGGGGGTTGAGACAGGTAGCCCCAGCTGGTCTGAACTCGCTATATAGACCAAGCTGGCCTGTATCCCATAGAGATCCGCCTGCCTCTGCCTCCTGAGTGCTGGGACTAAAGACATGCACCACTGTGTTCCAGTCTTACAAAAAATTTTAAAGATAGTTTTCTAATATGTGACAGCAAAGAAATCTACATGTAATTCTGACAAACTATTTAAAATAATCAGATTATATTGTTAATTTGGGCTTCAAAGTGCATATGTGAGCATTCACACTGTGGTTTGTTTGTTTTTTAACGCCTACCCTAACCCAAAAAGGTGCCACCTGACTGGGAGAGAGCATCCTTCCAACAGGCCAGTCAGGCCAGCGCTGATTTGAAGACAAGCCCACAGAATGGTGTCTCGTTCCCTTCCTCTGGAGGATATGGCCAGGGGTCCCTGATAGCTGATGAAGAGTCCCAAGAGTTTGATGACTTGATATTTGCACTAAAAACTGGTATGTCTGAAAGCCACAAACTACATTAGAAGTGGGTATTCTTATTATACCATTTTCCATCTTCCTCCATGAGTTTGCAAAAGCACCGTCACCCTTAGCACATCCTGATTCTCACGACCCATTCCTAATCCCAGACAAACTCTGGGATATTTTGTTCTTGGCATCAAATATGACACAACCTAAAAATAATTTACAATTTTCTTCTAAGAAATAAAAAGGCATACTCTCACTCATTGTAAATATCTGTGTCCCAGAATCTTGCTAGAACATCAAGATCTCATCAAGTTCAATATAAGATAGTAAGAGGTCACTGAAAGAGTTTTGCCTCTGACCTTCAAGAAAGGCATTATTAAGGAATATTTCTGAAGCAAGAACTTTCAGAAGTAACATAATGAACATCACATACTTCTATAGTTTCCAAAGTGCGATTGGTCACGTGAAGTATTTCACTGACCTTTCGTGTGTGTGTGTGTACGTGTGTGTGTGTGTGTGTGTGTGTACTTTCAATTTATTCAACCTGTGACCCTCATGAATAATTCTTAGAGAGAGAAATTAAGTCTTAAAACACTAGTGCAGCAGCATGTCACCTGAAAAACATGCTGACACATTAAAAAAAATAGAGAAATCTGACTGAAGGTCAGATGCTCCTGGTGAGATTACTAGTGAATGTGTGAATGTCATTCTTTCTAGTGTGTAAATGTCTACATTCATTGTGGCCTGAGTTAGCTTTCCATCACCATGATGAATAACTGAGACAAACAGTGTGGGAATGACTTGACCTTAGAGGTTTCATTTCATAGTTGGCTGGCCAGGTTGCTTTTAGGCTCAGTAGAAACAAAGTAGAAATACCAGGAAGGGCAGGAAGAGGAAAGGTGTTCACTTCCTGGCAACTAAGAAACAAGAAGATTAGCAAGAAGAGGCCATGACCAAGATGTCTCCTTCACAGGTGTGTCACTAGTGACTTGCCTCCTACAGTTGGGTGCCACCATCCACAGCTCTCTCACCTCTCAGTAGTCCATTCAGATTCGAACACACCAATAAATGACACCACTGACTAGGTCAGATGAGTCCTCATGGTCTAATGGTTTTTGAAAATGTTCTTACAAAAGAAATCAAAAGGTGTGCTCTGTTAGGATAGTTCTCTCTAACCTAGTCAAGTTGGTAACCAAGATTCACCATCACAGTAGTATAAATGAGACACTTCATCTGTCATAAAATCTCATTTGGCTATTATAAGATAATCATAAAATCATTTTAGGTTTTTTTCAAATCCCATATGCAGTGGTTCGACATTTTCTTCCTCACAAAATTGTTGAACTGTGCCAGGCGTGGTGGTGCACGCCTTTAACAACAGCACTTGGGAGGCAGAGACAGGTGGATCTTTGTGAGTTCGAGGCCAGCCTGGTCTACATAGTGAGTTCCAGGACAGCTGGGGCTACAGGAAGACCCTGTCTCAAAAAGACGAAATAAAAAAAAAATATTGAACTGTGGGGCTGGAGAGATGGCTCAGTGGTTAAGAGCACTGACTGCTCTTACAGAGGTCCCAGGTTCAATTCCCAGCACTCACATGGCAGCTAACAGTCATCTGTAACTCCAGTTCCAGGGGACTCTGACACCTTCTTCTTACCTCTGCAGGCATTGCACGACACTGGTGCACTTACACACATGCAGGCAATACATTCATACACATAAAATAAAAATAAATAAAGTAAATAAAAATATTAAAAAAAACATTGAACTGTTACTGTTGTAAAAATGCCAACGAACTTTTAGTTTCTAGATATTCAGAAAAGAAAAAAGATAGGCCCAAAAAGATGAATTTTTTTGAAATATTTATTAAAAATACATTTCACTCTAAAGCAATTTGATTTTTCTGGCTAAAGTATATTGCCTTAGTAAAGTATTTTTATTATTATAAAGTTCAAATTTTATATTGTATCTTATGAACTACATCAAAATCCTTAGGGGCACCATCATATTTTGTGTTTCATATTTTATGACCTGCCAGGATCACCTAGGCAAGAAATGGTGAGGCAACAAAGCAAATCACAGTCTGGCTCCGTGCTCCCAACCAGAATGCTACTGCCAAACGGTCCCTTTGAGAAGTGAAAAATGCTATTGAAATGAACAAGAACTCAACCCTGTATACACAATAGAGCTTAAAATTGTTAAGCCTGTAGGAGGAAATTTAAATAACGCATGAGTAGATGGACGAAAACATGGACCTTGGGAATGACTGGGAGGAATAGACATTCACATACACAGGCACTAAGGAAGACTAAAATAAGCAATGGAGAGAAAGATTTGAAATCAAGAGGGGACAGCATCTCATTGAAGAATACCTAGAGTTTAAATATGAAGGGAATGGAGGGAAAACATTACAAACTGAAGGAATAGAATTAAACAAAAATTTCCGAATTCATGGTGTGAGGCTTGTTTGGGGAGAACGGGGTTAGGGTGGGCCAGTAGCCAGAGACAGTTTGATAGGTGCTTTAACTACTTGGTTAGTAACTCCTGCAATTCCCCAGGTGGCTGTCTGTGAACAGCCTCTTTGAGCTGTTTGAGCCATGCCTCTATGCAACAATCCCTTGACCAGATATGTTTGGGGAACTGCAGATTTATAGTTCAAATTATCATTTAAAATTTGTAAAGCGATCCACATTAAAATATTAATCTACTCTTATTTGATAATATTAAATTACTGTTTGGTAGTCATGATAAGGTATGGGACATTTATAGAATATAGTGGATCCTGGAGGTTTCTGAGGAAAGAGGCTTGGCATTGCCGCATTCATTTTTTGAGGCAAAATAACTTTTGCGGGGGCTCTTTTTCTGAGACAGGGTCTCCCTGCAGCCCCAACTGACCTTGAACTCACAGAGATCTGTCTGCCTCTGCCTCCCGGGTGCTGGGATTAAAAGGCATGCAGCATCATGCTGGCTGAGACAGAATAACTTTTATGAAAGTATACAGAGTAAATCAGAAGCAGTATCAGAATGGCTAGAAAGAGATCACAGTGGTACAAAGGAATGAGGTTAAGACCTCACATGTGGAAACGTGAACAAGAAGTGAGCAGACAAACAGAAAAGCTCCTGCTTCTACCTGGGTGCGTGAGAGGGTGGTGACCAGAGCCCACATTAGCTTGTTTGCCAGGGAAACTGAGAGTGCTCCTGATGATGAACATTCTTCCCGAAGACTCACAAGGTTTGGATCTTGGGCAAGGGACCAGGGTAGAAGGTAATTCTTGAAATACATCAGTACACAGATTATATTGGTAACTGTGAATCAAGAGAGTGGAAGGAGAGAGAAGAAAGGAAAAAGAAATGAAGAGGGAAAATAAGGGAGGAAGAAAGGGAAGGGAAACAAGGGATAGAAAGCAAGAACATCGTAGATAATACTTCATCAAGGATGGAAAGGAAGAGGTCCACAGAGAAGTTCTAGCAAGATCAGAAAGAAAACTAAAGAGAACATTTTAAGAAGGGAATGATTAGCTACATAAAACCCTGGGTAGAGTTGGAGTTGAAAAGTGGCTTAAATTTATAATTGGGGCACATTTTGTCCCAGTAACTGCCTATAGTATCATCAGAGCTTGATGTTCAACCCCTGGAAGCAAAATGAATTCTTGAAGCATAATTCAATTAGATCTGTGAACTATATATATCCCAAGTACTGAATGCATTTGCTTTGGGAATGCATGGAATGACTTGCCTAGAGATTTAGCTTAGCATTCCTTAGAGTTCCCTAAACTCATTAGGAAAAAATACTTTAAAAGATCAAAATGACAGTCTCTCACATTGGTCCTCTGTATTTTTAGAGAAGGTACTATAATAATCAAGCTTCACCCCTGGACAAATTCCACTGTAAGATGTAGCCAAATAAAGGAGCCTCCCACATGTTATCTATTTACAGCCTAACTCACCATTCACCTAAAGGCTGGATTTGGCCTATTGAGGTACTAGCATTTTAACATTTTTGAGCCATTATTAAAAATACTGAGATATCGCATAAAAATCTAGATTTTTCATGCCAGGCATGGTGGTGAGCACCTAATCCCAGCCCTGAGGAGGCAGAGGCAGGTGGATCTTGGTGAGATCAAGACCAGCCTATTCCACATAGTGACTTTCAGACGGACTGGGACTAGGGAGACTCTGTTAAAAACAAACAAAACAAAACAAAAATCTAGATTTCCTTAGAAAAATCTAACACAGTTTTTTTAAAATTTGGTTTAGCAATTTCATGGTGATGTTTTCATGTACATGTGTCATTGTGCTATGTCTCATGTACATGTGTCATTATGCTATGTCTCATGTACATGTGTCATTGTGCTATGTCTCATGTACATGTGCCATTATGCTATGTCTCACCTGCCTCACCACCTCTTCCCCTTGTTGACCCTCTTCTCGCACTGAGTCCTTCCCTTTCTCATCTGTTCTCAGGGCACATATATTCCATTACCCACTCTTGTCCCTCTGCCCTTTCTGTAGACTTGTCTTTTCTCTCATTCTGTCTGCTTTCATGTCATAAACATATTTGTCTAGATTCCACATGTGAGGAAAACATGCAGTATTTGTTTTTCTTGGTTTGGCTTTTCTTTCTTATATAAGGATTTCCACTTCTATCCATTTCCTGTGAATGACATAATTTTATTGCTAAATAAAATTCTATTGTATATATACATCTCATTTTCTTTTCTTTTTTTTTTTTTTTTTTTTTTTTTTTTTTTTTTTTGAGACAGGGTCTCCAGCTGTCCTAGAACTCACTGTGTAGATTAGGCTGGCCTCAAACTCACAAAGATCCGCCTGCATCTGCCTCCCAAGTGCTGGGATTAAAGCCGTGTGCCACCATGCTGCACACATCTCATTTTCTTTATCCATTCATCTGTAGATGAACATCTAGGCTGCTCCATATCTTGGCTTTTATGAATAGCATAGCAGTAAACATGGGTGTGTGATTATCTCTGCAGTGTCCTGACTTGCAGTCCTATGAATGAATATCCAGTAGT